GGAGACAAAGAGTCCTCCAAAGGCAGCAGGGGGCGGCATGTAACAGCAAAACAACACCAGCAAAAACAAAAATTAGATAAAGAAAAAAAAACAAAAAAGACTAAAAAGCAGCAACAACAAAAACAAGACTGAATACTGCAGTCTCTAATCACAGAAAAGGGAGAGAAGAAAAAGAAGGAAAAAAAAATCTGTAGCTTAATATGAGTCTGACTTTAATGTCCTCTCTTAAGCTTCCTGCCTTCAAAGCTGCCTGAGAGATTCTAAATTGCCAGTGTTGGTTGTTATGCTACACCTCAGGCTCCAATCCAACCTTCAGGCTGTTTTGCTTTTAAATTCTCTTTCCCTCCCTACAGCCCTCTCCTTCTCTTTCCCGTGTTAAAAAACAGAACAAAAAAGAAACATATAAGAAAAGTTCAGAGCCTGCTCTTGGGCTGAGTATCTGTGCACCTGCGTGGCTGAAGAACCCACCAGCGGTGAGGGTGGGGGGTGGCCACACACTCAGGCTCTCCCTCTAGTCACCAGAATGGAGGTGGGCAAACAGTGGGCACGCCAATTACCAGATACCAAAGAAAAAAGAAAATCAGAACAAAGCAAAACTGACAAAGTATATTGTCCACCTTTGTCCCAAGGTTCCCGCGGCGTTTTCCCATGGTGTTTCTGCTCCCCCTGTTTCGTCTTTCCATTTGGTCTTGCCCAGGATGTCGGCTCCCGGACTCTGAGCCTGGCCCAGCAGATTCAAAAGTACGCGATTTTTTTTAACTTCAGCTCCAAATTCCACAAGCTATAAGCCTTCAAACCTTTAAAATATTCCTATCTCTGTGGTTCCGTGTTTTGGAGCTCTGCCCAGAATCCACTTTGCCTGGTATTCTGTGTTATTGCTGACGGCAAACTTCACTGCACCTCCACCCTAGCCACCATCAAGTCCCGCTTCTCACAAATAAGTGTTCTGGAATGCCCATTCTTTGCAATGTTATCCTTAGTTTGTTATTATCCACACAGTCAAATGCTTCTGTATTGTCAGTAAATCACAAGCAAACATCATTCTTGTATTCTCTGCTTTTAGCCAAGATCCATGTGACATCAGTAATGATCGCCCTAGTTCCATGTTCTCTTTTGAATTCCATTTCAGTTATCTTCAACAAAATTTTACGGTCAACAGTAGGCTATTAGTAGTTAAGTTTGGGGGAATCAAAAGTTATACTCATATATTTGACTCCTTAAGGTTCAGCTTCCCTACCCTCTGTGTTGCTCAGAAGACATCTTTATACAGTAAGGGATGATAAGCACAGTATAGCTAAGGCAAGGAAGATACAGAAAGGCATACAAAAGTTACAGACAACAAAGGTAAATACGTAATATTACCAATGTAATAGCATATCAGCAATAACAAACAACATATAAATATAGCTGTGTATATGTTGTTAAGTGCAGTTGAGTTGGTTCTGATTCATAGAAATTCTGTGTAAAGTTTCAGAGGCTTTACATCTTTGCAGAAGCAGAAGGCCACATCTTCCATAGAATGGCTTGTTGGCTCAAACTACCAACCAGTTAGGGGACAAAGATATGAAAACATTTTAGCCATAACAAAATACCTTGAAATAATAGTCACTGGGTTTGGGGACTTAGGACCATGGTCTCAGGGACTTAACTCAATTGGCATAACATAGTTTACAAAGATAATGTTTTACATCCTACTGTGGTGAGTAGTAACTGGGGTCTTTAAAGCTAGCGAGTGACCACCTAAAGTCTCTCTCCATCCAGAGCAAAGAAGAATGAAGAAACTAAAAGATGAATGGAAACAAATAGTCCAAAGGACCACTCAAACCTCAGCTTCATTAAGACCAGAAGAAATAGATGGTGCCCAGCTACCACTACCAAACTCTCTGAAGGGATCAGAGTCTTGGGTAGAGTGTGAGAAAAATGTGGAACAAAACTCAAAATCATAAAAAAAGAAGTCTTGGCTTACTGGTCAGATAGAGACTGGTAGAACCTCTAAGACTGGTTGTTAGTCAATCTTCAAGTCTTGAACTGAACTCATCCATGTTGTGGGTCAAACTGAAATTTGACAGCCAAGTAATAGACAAGCCTGTAATGTTAACAATCACAATGGAGGGTAGAGTCACTGCCCTGTGAAGATGGCATCAGAGAGCAGGATGAAAAACTTGGGACTTTCACCAAAAGTGGGACAAAGATGAATATGAGAAGCTTGCTGAGAAGAAGCTCATAGAAGAGAGAGAAAAGAAAGATGGAAAACCAGGGCATGTTGTCCTGCAGGAGATTCTGTGGCATAGGAACTACAAGTGGACCTAGAATCCAAGCTTGGAAAGACAATTGTCATTACCAAGACCACTTTGCAGTCTGAGATGGGAATACCTGTGACTCTGTGGTGTAAGACTTCATCACCTTCCTGGATCACATTAATGGAAAGAAACATCAGCAAAACCTGGGCAAGTGTCCATGTGTAGAACATTCCACCCTGGATCAGGTAAAGAAACACTTTGAAGGCAAGAAGAAGATGGAAGAGAAGCAGAAGAATTATGATTTTGAGAAAGGATGAAAGATCTCAGAGAAGAGCGGAAAAAAGGCCAAAGCCTGCCTACAAGAAAGAGAAACAGAGAAGAAAAGGAGGGCTGATGAAGACTTAACATTTGAGGAGGAGGAAATGGAAGCTCTGATGGACTTCTCTAACTTTAGTTCTGCCTAGAAGAGTTCCTTAGGCTTTCTATGGTTGGCCCTTTGCTAGGCCTAATTTTGTATGTGTCGGGTCATTTCTTTTGGAGCACTTGGGGAAAGTCCTTAAAAGTGGCAATGGTGAGGGTTAGAGGGTGAATGTTTGTGGTTTCTCTCTACCTTGGGGCAGGGCACAAAACAACAGAGGTAATACTGTGGCACATTCCTTCAGCCTCAGTATATCCCTGGAGTCACAGCACTTCTATCCATCTGAATTCCCACTTCAGTAGCCTCCCCTTCTGAGGCTGCTTTCCCAAAACTCCCCCTGAATCTTTTCCTCTACATCCACTTAACCCCTATCTGAGCATTCTGTGTGTCTCCTGTCGTGTGCCTTTTCAATTTGGACTCTTGCTCAGCCTGCAGCAGAAGGGTTCTTTGAGTTTTCCCAGTTTCCAGTTCATGTACTTCTGCCTGGGTCAGTGTGTGTGTGTGTGTGTGTGTGTGTGTGTGTGTGTGTGTGTGTGCATGAATCTATCACATAGAGGGGCCTGATGTTCTCAGCTTTCTCAGAGCACGTAACAGGAAATTAAATGGGATGAGTGTTTTGCGTGGTCGGTGTCTGGTTAGTTTTTTAACCTTTGTTGTTCAAATGCACACTGTTTCAGCTTCTCATGTTTGCTTCATTTTATTGAGCTCAGTTTTTGTTTTCCTTATGAACAGGCTCAGCAGGTTCTTAGAAGAACCTATCCGATGTCCCCCCCCCCCAAAAAAAAAGTAGCTATAAGTAACCTCACTATAAGAAAACAAAACAAAACACAACAATAGAGGGGCACACACACTCCTTAGAACAATCAACATATGAGATTAAAAGAGCAGCTTTTGTCCAAGGATGAAGCTTAGAAATCAGGAAGGGATAGGAGAAAGGATGAAAGGAAATGTGGACCATAGGAAGGAAGTGGGATGAGTGGCATTACGTTGTGAAAATTGCCATTTGTGTCACAAACAACACATATATGGATCGTTTAATGGCACACCAGTTTGCTCTGTAAACTTCCACTCAAATCAAAACTGAAAGTCAAAACAATTTAACTAGTGTAAAATAAATAAGTAAGATAGAGTATGTAGAGCTCTCCTCCTCTGCTCTGCCAGCATAGTGTTTGATACAAATCAGGTAATAGGTATTACTGAGAATTACTCTGTACTTGCACTAGTTACAGCTTTAGAGGAGTTTGCCTCCTCACTCTTCTGATCTTCTCAACAGGTCGAGGACACTGGTTAATCTCTCGGAAATCTAATGTCAAGAAGAACTCCAAGGATATGAATGAAGAGCCAGCTGCAGATCAGGAAAGCCAGAAGAAGAGTATTTCAGATGTCCGGGGAAAGAGAGGGTCTCGGCAGGAAAACCAGTCGGCTCTTCCTGGACGCATTCTGGACCGGTCTTTTCTGGTGAGAGTCAATGCACCCTGGAATGGCTGGTAGCAGCAACTGATGACCATCCTAGTGGGGAACGAGGACTTGCCCAGCTCTGCTCTGACACAACCACTTCCAATCCATTCCATGCTCCCACTACTAGAGTCATATTGGTAAATTGTGTACAGCCAGGATGATGAAGGGACCCAGTGCTTTCCTTACAGGTGGAAGGATTGAAAGAGGCCAGTGTGTTACATACCTCTTTCCACCACTAACTTGTGATATATATATTATCATCAGTATTATATTGTCTACATTATGCAGATAAGAAAGCTGAGAGCCTAAGGGGTAATTTGAATTAGCCAAGACCCCATTGCTGTTAAATGGTTGGGCCGAGATTAGAACTCTGGTCTGCTGACTTCAAAGCTATATCAGGTAAAAACTTTTAATTACATTGGGGGCAGGGAGGAGTAGGTTCTGGAGAACAATCTATTGAAAATTTCATGTCAGTTGTTAGTAGGGTGTAGATAGCCCAGCTCTTCTCTGCTCTGTTCTGCTCTGGGGAGATCTCTCCAGAGCAGGTAGGACTGGGGAGGTCTGATCTTCCATAGCTGTTTTCCTTTTCAATGCTGGCTGAAAGCCAGGGGAGGTGATCAGACATTACCCATTACCTGGGGCAGGCTTTATGAGGAGGATGGGGTGGGGTGTCTTAGAGATTGGCCAGGAAATGTCACATTTGCTCTCTGTAATGTCTCAATGGCTTTGCAAAGACGCATTTATAATTTAATATTAATGTGCAGCTGAGGTCTCATGACTCCCTAAGAAGAACTCTCTGACAGTCTGCTTTGTTCCCAGACTCTTTGTATGATTCCAAAGAGATTACTTTCTACATAGATCAAATGTTGAGAGTTTGAGGAGGCAGTTGGTCTCATCTCACTTCAAGTGGGTAGTGTAAGTTTTTGGCAGAATCCTGTGGAATTCCTTTCACTATTACATCCACATCTCATTGAGGGTGAGGAGAAATAAAACAATTTATTATTATTTCACATAAAAACAATCTAGGGGAATTTTTATGCCAAGGTAGGTTAATTTACTGGTTTAATGACATTTTCCAAGGCCCAGGTTTCTTCCTTCTTCCTGCCCTGCCACCCTCAGCATGCCGACTTGTCCTCTTCGGACTCTTGCCTTCATAGTCCTCAATGACTGCAGTGATTTCAGATTTCACATTTAAAGAATAACATCCAGAAGTAGAAAAGAGATTTTCCCTGTCTTGTGTCTGTTTTTAAGGACCTCTGGTATAGCGGTTAGGGACCTTTTGTGCTGCTGTAGATAAGCACTGGACTGCTAACCACAAGGTCAATACTTTAAACCCAACAGCCACTCCTCAGAAACCCTTTACAGGGTAGCTTTGAGTCAGAACCTGGTCAATGGCCCTTAACAAGTCGCACAGTGGGTTAAGAGTTGGACTTCTAACTTCAAAGTCTATAGTTCAAAACCACCAGCCTCTCCATGGAAGAAATGAAGCTATCTGCTTCTGTAAAGATTTACAGTCTTGGAAACCCAAAGGAGTAGCTTTACTTTGTCCTTTAGGGTAGTTGTGAGTCCAGGTTGACTCGATGGCAGTAGAGGGCGGTGGTGGTGTACCTGTTTTTTAAATTTAAAAAATGTTCCCCCAAATTAACCTTCTCCTATTTCCATGTTGTTGTTGTTGTTGTTAAGTGCCGTCGAGTCGATTCCGACCCATAGCGACCCTGTACAGGGTTTCCGAGGGTGTAAATCTTTATGAGAGTAGAAGCCTCATCTTTCTCCCGCGGAGCGGCTGGTAGTTTCAAACCGCTGACCTTAAGGTTCGCAGCCCGATTCATAACCATTACGCCTATTTCCATAGCCATGTATAATTGGCCAGACTTATATCCCATATCCAAACAGTCATTGGTAGAGGGAATAAGTCCTCCATGATTGGCTTAGACAAGTCAAGCAAAACTTATCCCTTGGAACTGGAGCTAAGCTTTCTAGAAGGACATAGCTACTCAGAAAAATGTAAATAAAATTGGGCTATTTAACAAGGAAGGTAATTAACAATGTATGGTACTGGTCTTTCCCCTTCCTCTCTTGTGTTCTTGTCCTTTCTATGTGTAGAAAACAGTAATTTTTACAAGACACAGTCTGATGACATTGGGTTTCTAATGGCTGTGGGATAAAATCCACGTTCCTTTACAGAACCAACATGAACTCACAAGTAATTATTGCCTTGCTAGCCTTCTGTTTTTCATCTTCCGAAAAGCACATTGCTTTTTCTTGCCTCAGTAGCCTGAGATACCTTCACAGCCTCTGTTGCCCATTTTCATAGGACCAACTCCTACTCATCTATTAGGTTCAACTGAACTATTACTGCCTTAAGTAAATATTTCCTCATTTCAAGGCTGAGGTTGGATCTCCTATTTTTGTCTCCCATAGCATCTTGAATTTCTCTTCTGGAGTCTGTGTTACATTTATAAGTATTGCTTAATACATGACTTCCAGTGAAATAATATGAATGCTTAGGATGTTCCTGTTGCTTCTGCATTATCTTCCCAATATCTACTTTAGTTCCTAAACATGATAGCTACCATAATTCAATAAGTGACAGAGAAGGGGATGAGTTTTAAGTAAACAGAAATGTTGTTGTTGTTAGGTGCCATCGAGTTGGTACCAGCTCATAGTGACCTTATAAATAGCAGAATGAAACACTGCCCAATCCTGGGCCAACCTCACTATTGTTGTCACACTTGAGCCCATTGATGCTGCCACTTTGCCAGTCCATCTCACTGGGGGTCTTCCTCTTTTTCTCTGACCCACCACCCTACCAAACATGATATCCTTCTCTAGCAACTGGTCCCTCCTGACAATATTTCTGAAGTATGAGAGACAATGTTTGGCCATCCTGACCTCCAAGGAGCACTTTGGCTGCACTTCTGCCAACACAGATCTGTTGGTTCTTTTGGCAGCCCATGGCACTTTCAATATTCTCTTCCACCACAACTCAAAAGCATCAATTCTTCTATGGTCTTCCTTCTTCACTGTCCAGATTTCACATGCATATGAGGTTATTGAAAATACCATGGCTTGGGTCAGGTGCACCCTTAGTCCTCAAGCTTACATCTTTGCTCTTCAACACTTTAAAAAGGTCTTATGTAGCAGATTTGCCTAATGCAATACATTGTTTGATTTCTTGACTGCTGATTCCGTGAGTGTTGATAGTTTTGATCCAAGAAGAATGAAGTCCTTGACAACTTCAATCTTTTCTCCATTGATAAGAATGTTGTTTATTGGGCCAGTGGTGAGGATTTTTGTTTTCTTTACATTGAGATGTAATCCATACTGAAGGCTGTGCTCTTTGATCTTCATCAGTAAATATTTTAAGTCTTCTT